GATGATTCATCTACTAGTAACAAGTTCTCTTCTGTTTCACTGAAGTCTTCTACATAACGTATATCAGAGAAAATTATAAAAATAAAAAATTCTCTCATATATAGTGATTTTTGATGAAATTTGGCCAATGACCCAGTATTATAATAGTACAAGGACTTTGGCATCATTTTTAGCAACTTTAAAAATTTGTAAAAAATTAAATTTGACCAAAATGAGTTGAAAATTTCTACATAACATAAAAACATGTATATATATATATATATATATATATATATACATGTATATCATGATGTAGCCACACATCAAAGGATTAGCAGGACTTGTATATTCCATACACGCACTGCAGTGCCCCATACATGCACTGTGGCTTTGTGCTTGTGTAAACTGACCGCCCACAGTACATACTTGTAATTGTTGAATGTGTGGCTCCACCCTAACATATATCATTTATAACACACCATCTCGTGCTATATGGCTTTTATAAGGACCTCGCCCTCGGGCTCGGTCCTTATAAAAGCCATATAGCACTCGCCGGTGTGTTATAAATATTACATATATATATATATCAGAAACAAATTAGTAAAATTCTCTCCTGGCCATTTTTGACTAAATTTGGTCAATGATCCTGTACTATAGTGTGATTTTTGAGCAGCTTTAAAAATTAACATTTTTGATTTGAATTACATGTAGATCTAGTACCGTATAGCTCCAAATTTTCATCAATATTTTTGCTTGACGAAATTTTTAACTGACAAAATTTTTGTTCTACGTGGGTAATATGCGGATTAATAACAAAAATGACAAAAATTTTATTGACGAAAATTAATTTTAACATGAAATTAAGATTTTGACTGACGAAAATTTAGAGTCGGAATCAGCTCAAACTTTCTACACAGCATAAGTACATCAATATGTATCAGAAAATGTAATAAAAATTTGGAACCATTTTTTGGGAGAAACCATGGGCATAGCCTTGGGTATTTTTCAAAATTTTGAAGTTTTCTTAAAATGGTCATAACTCAAAAAATTTCAATCGAAATCTTTCTACACAGCATAAGGATGTCAATATATATAAAGAATGTAATAAAAATTGGGAATAATTTTGGGGCCATTTTTTTTGAAAAAAACTATGGGCTATAGCCTTGGGTATTTTTCAGAATTTTGTCGTTTCTTAAAATGGCCATAACTTGAAAAATTTCAGTCGAAATCAGCATAAACTTTCTACACAGCATAAGGATGTCAATATGCATCAAAAAATGTAATAAAAATTGGGGACAATTTCGGGGCCATTTTTTGAAAAAAACTATGGGCTATAGTACAGGGTATTTTTGTGAACTAGCTTTAACAAATCACAAAATCCACAAAATCTATAACCATCAAAAACTTTGTGTAATACAATGTAGATATAATTACAGACAAATGGTGTCCTCTTACTTGATAGTGGTGCTCAATATGATACCTATTGGTGGTACTGCCAAACCCAGGAGTGTTGTACAGGTCCCTCAAGTAGCCCCAAATATTGGGATAATCAACAATCCTCTTTTTATTACACTACAAGAAAATGAACGAAATATTAAATAAAATAAAATAATAATGATTTATTGGTGAGGAATTAATATTGGCAATTGGCAGTTCTATGAAGAAATTGCCAATATAAAATCCATTATTTTGTTTCAATCTGAGCATGCTCAATGGCACGTGGCACAAATTCTCCAATATAAAATCAGCCAATTTCTTTCCACATGCAAATTCACCAAATATTACTCCCACCTATAAATCTTGAACAGTAGTTTAATTGCTTCAATATAATTTTATACATGTAATTATTATCTAGCAGGAAATATTGACAGGAAAAGAATTGACAAATTTATTAGCAGCCTTGTGCCAATGCTCAGAATAAAATAGATTTTATTTTGACAGCCAAAATCAATTCCTGCTAAAATATGCCAATATTTTTGGCATTTTTTCAAATAGTAAATACATAAATGTTTTAGTATCGATGAATTCTTCCACCATAATGCATTACTTTTCATGCATGCATGTACATATACATGTACATGTACATGTAGTTACAATAAGCTATAAACCAATTGTATTATAATATTCCCTTACTTTGAAGTGTCCCACATAAACAGGATCAAACCTCACTAATGTGGTATAGAGTCTAACATCAGCTTCAGTTATACTAGCTCCAGTTAAGTAACGTTGTGTTGATAGGATACCCTCAACACAATCCAGTGACTCAAACACTTCCCTCACTGCTTTATCATAGGCATCTTGAGCTGTAGCAAACCCTGCTCTGTAGACTCCATTGTTAATGCCTCTATATAAGGAAAGATTCCATTATAGTAACTTCTGCATGATAATAATCAACTGTAGCAACTGTACTGAGTCAGTATAGTATAACAAGAGTAAATGCTATAAGCATAAAATTGCA